CCTCCCCTGAACGGAGGTGTTCAGGCCATTTTCACCCGGGGCGTCCTCGCAAAACTGACCTCGGCGACGCATTGTCCAATGGTAGTCTGACCGCGTTTGCCTGAGACCCTCGCGCCTTTAGTGGCGCGATGATATGAGCAACTGGTCAGGCCACCACCGCCTGATATACGCATGTGTATGCGCACACATAGTTACACTGAGCATTTGCATATACATTTACATATCCATAAAAACGTATAACAGATGCACATACGTAGTATGCATTCATAGACGCACGTGTGTGCGCATGTACGCAAGCTCGCACTCCGCTAGCGTGCGAATTCCAAAGGACCAAGGTGCATGGCGCGCAGCGCCAATGCAGTGTTGTGTATATATATATATATATAAATACAAGACTGCATTGGCGCTTCGCGCCAATGGAGTCTTGGTCCAAACCCTCCCCGGCAAAACAATAAATCAGTCTGCTTCAACAGGGGGGGCCTCGAGGCCTGGGCGGACGACCGGCTCATTCTTATGATATTCCTGGTGCCTGCTGACACCGCGTTCGCCCGATGCGCTTGCACGCTTGTGCGCAGGAGTGGGAAACGAATGATGATTTTGTTCGCGCGCGAGGGTCCTTGGAGGAAGTAAGGAGCGTTCCCATGACACGCCGAAGAAATCGTAGTAGCCCAGAAAAAATATATTGTCGGTCGCTTCCTGAATGCCTGGAGAGCCCCAGGCACTCAGGAAATCCTCGATCATCGAACTTCCCATCTAGATCCATTGCCTGTCTCTCTCGATCGAGGAACTTACACCTCGAACCTCAAGCGTGGAACCAAGATCGTCGGGCCAGCCCGATGTACTTCGCGGGAGAACGCCGTCTGGGCGTTTTGGGGGCTGTTTGGGCCGTCCTGGGGCCCTCTTGGGCCGTCCTGGGGCCTTCTTGGAGAGCTGGGGCCCTCCAGAAATCTTCTGAAGCTATATAGGGCCCTTTTCGGAGCCTCCAATGACCTTCTTGGGGGGCTCCCATGGCTTTCGTGGGTCTCTCTTGTAGGCACTCTCGGGGTTCTCTAGGGCACTCGTGGGGCCATCTTGGGCTTTCTTGAAACCCTCTGGGGGGCTCTTGGGGCGATATCGGGGGCCCATCGGGCCGTCTTGGACGCTGCGACCCCCCCCCAAAAAAATGGAGATGCTAAACATATGCATTTCCCTGCAGGAATGGGAGGATGTTTGCTTCTTCGGGGCTCTCCTAACTGCATTTTGGGGCGTCTTGGGGGCCTCATGGGCCGTCTTCAGACCATCGAGGTTCCTCTTGGAGCGCCCTTGTGCTGTCTTGAGTCTCTCTTGCGCCTCTCCGATGACCCCTCTGATCGCCTTGAGTCTGCTCGCAAGGCCCGGCAAGGCGCACTGGGAGGCCCGGAAGGGCCAACGGACCTTTTCCAAGGGCGTCCAGGCGGCCGCCGAGACGTCCGAAAGAGCGTCCTGGGCGTCCCTGGAGGGGGGGTCCAATTTACGTGGGGTGGTGGGGGTGGTGGTCCGGGTAATAATAATATCGGAATGCGAACATATATCTATATCTATATCTATATATATATATATGTATACAGACATATTTATGCCAACATAGACATTCATACGGACATACATACATACATACATACATACATACATACATACATACATACATACATACATACATACATACATACATACATACATACATACATACATACACACACGAAGGCATACATACGCGGCAGTCTGCGAGGCTCTGGAGAAGCCTGCCGCAAGCGCCATACTTTTACATATTATACAAAGACCCCGCCGCAGGCGCCGACTTTCTGGTTAAAGCAATGTCAATGGGTCGCGGGTGGGTCGCGGGTGGGTCGCGGGCGAGTCGCGGGTTTGGTCGCGGGTGGGTCGCGGGTGGGTCGCACGGTGGGTCGCGGGTGGGTCGCGGGGTGGGACGACGACAACAAACAACAAGCAATAAACAACACACAACGCAACATCAGTAACAACAACAACAGCAGCAACAACAAGAACAACAACAACAACAACACTTTCAGCAACAACAGCATAATCATCGACAACAACAAGCATGCCAATACTCTTCGCTCTTGTGCGCGCGCGTGCCATTCAACATGTATACCCCGAACGTTCGATACCCGCCCTCTTCGTCTTCGATTGTACCCCCTTGGGGGTATATGTCTTACCGTCAACGTGTATTTAATGCAGCCCCTACGGCAAGGGAAGAAAAGGACGGATTGAAGGAAGGGACAAGGGGCAGGGAAGCGGATGGAGCACGAGAGACAGGGGTTCGGAGTAGAAAACACGCAGAATAATCAAACGGCAGATCGGGCGGGCAGACCCTAGCGGGCGTGTCGGGAAGGCGGGCCCAAGCGGCCACGTCGAGCAGGCGGGTTGCTGAATCGTGCGTCCTGCATGAATCGCGAGTCTCGCGCGATAGCGCGATTTCCAACTAAATCGTGAGATTGGCCAAAACGAGAGCGTGATTCCTGAGTGTCGAGGGCGCGGCGTCCGAATCGATTGCGGAAAGTCCCACGCCATAACGCGATTTCTGCATACATTATACGGACGTCCCGCGCGATAGCGCGATCTGGGAATACATTGTGACGAAATATCAGGCGGGAGCCATTGTTGTTGTAACTCGGGAGCCAGGGGCCAAATTCAGAGACCCAAGACTTTCCCTGATAACAAACATGGCACGAGCCTCGGACAAACAAGGGCATTTCAATCAAACATATAAATATACCCTGAAGGGAGGCATTAACAATACTTCTTCTTCAAAAGTGAAAGTTGTACAACAATAAGCAGCAGCAACAACAATCATATTAAGACTGCTCGCTTTTATCTGCTCGAGTGTGATTCGACGCGTATTCTCCAAACCCTCGATACCCGCCCTCTTCTTCTTCGATCATACCCCTTTCGGGGGGTGTATCTGTCTGCCCGGCAGACTGGGCATCGGCAAGCGGCGGGGCGGCCGCGGACCGTCGGCCTGGCCAGAAGCAGCGCTGATCGGCGGCAGCCCGACCCAAAGAGGGACGGACAGGGGACCGACCACGACGACGACGACGACGACAACGACGACGACGACGACGGCGGCGACGACGACGACGTCGAGCGAAAGCGAGAGCGAGAGCGACAGCGGGGCCACGAAGGGTAGGAAGGGGGCCACGAAGGGCATGCATATATGGGGCCACAAAGGGCAGCGAGGGGGCCGCGAAGGGTTGCAACGGGGCCACGAAGGGCAGGAAGGGGGCCACGAAGGGCGATAGCGGGGCCACGACGGGCATGCATATGGGGCCACGAAGGGCGCGAACGAGCGGGGGCCACGAAGGGCAGATAATGATTATGCGGGACCACAGAGGGCAACGACAGGGCCACTGAGAGTAGCAACGGGGTCGCGTAGGGCAGCGAGGGGGCCACAAACGGCAACAGCGGGGGGCCACGAAGGGCATGCATGTGGGGCCACGACGGGCGCGAACAAGCGGGGGCCACGAAGGGCATGCGTATATGGGGCCACAAAGGGCAGCGAGGGGGCCGCGAAGGGTTGCAACGGGGCCACGAAGGGCAGCGGAAGGGCTGCAACGGGGCCACGAAGGGCAGCGAGGGGGCCACGAAGGGCTGCAACGGGGCAGCGCAGGGCAGCGAGGGGGCCACGAAGGGCTGCAACTGGCCACGAAGGGCAGCGAAATCCCGATTCCCAAGTAAGCTGCGAGGGTATCCTTCGCGTGAGCGCGACTCCTGGGAGCCTCAGTGTCGGGAGCGCGACGCTTGAGTAAACGGAAGGGAATTCCAATGCAATAGCGCGATTCTTTATGTAAATTGAGGGCAAGTCTCCAGCGTGAGCGCGACTCCAGAGCACTGAGAGAGCGATGTCTGTACGGTCTGAAGGTAATGAGGTACCAAGCGAGAGCGCGACTCCTAAGCAAAATGCGAGGGAGTCTCAGGCGGGAGCTGGGGTCCTGGCTAAAGTGTGAGAAAATCGCAAGCGGGAGTCGTTGTTGTTGTAATCCAGGGGCCAACAACACAATTTGACCCAAGTGACTTTCCCTGATAGAAAACAGGGTGCGAGCCCCGGGGGAAGCACTTCAATTGAAAAACGCAATGGTTATTGGAGGGGGGTCAACAATAATTCGTCTTCAATAGTGCGAGTTCAACAACAACCACAACAACAATATGTTTAAGACTGTTCGCTCTTATCTGCTCGCGTGCCAGTCAACAAGTATTTTCAAAACCCTCGATACCCGCCCTCGTCGTCTTCGATCGTACCCCGTTCGGGGTACATCGCTCTTACTCGCAACGTGTACTTCGTGCAGCCCGTAAGGCAGGGGAAGGGAGGACGGATGGAAGGAAGGGACAACGGGCAGACGGGTTGCTGAAGCGTGCGTCCTTCATGAATCGCGAGGGAATCTCAAGCGATAGCGCGATTCCCAAATACATCGTGAGGAAATCCACAGCGAGAGCGTGATTCCTGAGTGTCGAGGGCGCGGCAGCTGAATCAATAGCGAGGAAGTCCCACGCGAGAACGCGATTCTTGTATACATTGTCAGGAAGTCCTGCGCGAGAACGCGATTTGGGAATACATTTCGAGGAAGTATCAAGCGGGAGCCGATGTTGTTATTGGTGGTGGTGTTGTTGTTGTTGTGATTGTTGTTGTCGTAAGCCCGAAGGTAGGGGCACGATTTGATGACCCACCTTCCTGGGAAGAGAACAAGGTGCGAACTCCGGGATAAGCACTTCAATTGAAAATGGAACGGTTACCGGGCGGTGGGGATCAACAGTGTTTATCTTAATAGGAATTCGAATTCAACAACAGCCACCACCACCACAACAACAATCTCGCTTCGGCCACGCGCACAAGGACAATGAATGACCGTGCGGCCCCCTCACTCTGACGCATCGCCGCCGTCGCCGCCGCCGTCGCCGCCGTCGCCAACCGCCGTCGCCGCCCGCCATCGCTGCAGCCAACCCGCCGTCGCCGTCGTCGCGGTCGCCTTGGCCGCGGCCAGGGGACGGGGGCGCTCTCTGGCGTATACCACCGGGTCGGTGCCGGCTCGGGGCGCGCAGCTCCGCCGGGCCGCCACGGGCGGCTGCCGCTAAGGCCGCGGCCCTGCAGGTACCTGCGCATGTCCTCCTCGGGGAGGGGGGCGAATGCCCGAGAGACCTTCTCCTTCGCGCACTGCGCTCCGCGATGATCTGCGCGCCCTCGTGCCCTTGCGACGCCCCCTGGACAAGAGCACCGCTCTGGCCTGGATGGCGGCGCGCGGCGCGCGATTATCTTCGTGCCCCCGCGAATCCCCTGCAGAAACAAGCAGACGCCCGCGGATTCGAGCACGCAGCGTGCTCCCGCAACACGCGCAAGTCAGTCACACGCGAAGGCCCTTACCTCAGGTGTGCCTCTCGGAGAGGAGCCTCAACAAAACCTCCAGGCAGCCTGCATCCTGAAACAACGGGGGGGATAAGACGTTCGCCTTCCAAAACACGTCCGTGCGGCGTTTTTCACGCTCCCCATTGTGGGGCCTTAAGCCGGGGCCCTTCCCAATTATGTGAAGCCCTGCCCCGGGGGCTTTACGATGGAAACTCGCTCCTGAACCCTTGGCAGGGGCTCACGAGGCCTGGGGGCCTGAGGAACACCCTGCAATTGCGTCCGAGGGGGTCCCAGGGCCGGGGATATGGGAGGTCGAGGGATTTGAGAGGCGGGGGCGCTTGCTTCTACGATGGCTTCGGACCAGTATACATGCAGAAATCGATATTCCTATCTATGCGACCACCCTTCGGGTGATAAGGAGGTTGTGCGGGGAGGAGGGGGGAGGGAACCAACATCTGACTCAATTGATCTCATGATCGGTCTCACTCAACGGGACACCACGGGACACCACTGGACACTTGTCGATCTCACTATCGATCTCACTATCGATCTCACTCAACGGGACACCACGGGACACCGCGGGACAACTCTCGATCTCACTATCGGTCTCACTATTATCAATATCACGATCGATCTCGCTCAAAGGGACACCATAGGACAACACGTGACACAAGGGGACACTTCGGGACACAGTATCGATCTCACTGTCGATCTCACTATCGATCTCACTCAATGGGACACCACGGGACACCACGGGACACCTGTCGATCTCACTATCGATCTCACTATTGATCTCTTTTTTCTTGGACACCACATGACACCTCAGGACACCACATCGATCTCACTATCGATCTCATTATCGATCTCACTATCGATCTCATTCAACGGGACACCACGGGCCACCACGGGACACCTGTCGATCTCACTATCGATCTCACTTTTTTGGACACCACGGGACACCTCGGGGCACCACATCGATCTCAGTATCGATCTCAAGATCGATCTCACTATCGATCTCATTATCGATCTCATTATCGATCTCACTCAACGGGACACCACACGAGACCACGGGACACCGCGGGACACCGCGAGCCACCGCCGGACGGACGAACGGACGGGGGAGAATCACTTGTCTTGCCTTCGCCCTAGCAACGGGCGGACACCACGGCACACCACGGGACACCACGGGACACCGCGGGACACCGCGGGCCACCGCCGGACGGACGGAAGGGGGAGAATCATTTGTCTTGACTTCGCCCTAGCAACGGCGGACACCACGGGACACCACGGGACACCGCGGGACACCGCTAGGGCCACCGCCAGGCGGACGGACGGACGGGGGAGAATCATTTGTCTTGACTTCGCCCTAGCAACGGCGGGTTCATTCCTCTCGCGCGCCCACGCAGCCTCGCCTCGCCCGCACGCACGACACGAACGAAACGAAACGATTTCCTGGTTGGGGGTCTCCATTCCACTGCGACCTCACCCCCCAACCTCGGATTACCCGGACCCCCCCCCCCCAGCCCCCCCCCCACCCTCCAGCCCCTAAATCGGATCCCCCACCCCCCAGGGACGCCCCGGACGCCCTTTCGGACGTCTCGGCGGCCCCCTGGACGCCCTTGGAGAAGGTCCGCTGGCCCCTCCGGGCCTCCCAGGGCGCCTTGCCGGGCCTTGCGAGCAGACTCAAGGCTATCAGAGGGGTCATAGGAGAGGCGCAAGAGATACTCAAGACAGCACCAGAACGCTCCAAGAAACACCTCGATGGTCTGAAGATGGCCCAAGAGGCCGCTAAGACGCCTCAAGAGACCGTTAAGAGAGCCCCGAAGAAGCAAGACTCGTCCCATTCCCTTCGGAAACTGTATATGTTTAGCATATCCGATTTGGGCTCTTCGCAGCGCCCAAGACGGCCCGATGGCCTCCCGATATCGCCCCAAGACGGCCCAAGAGGCCCCCCAGATGGTTTGAAGACGGCCCAAAAGGGCTCCAAGACTGTCCCAGAGAGCCCCGAGACTGCCCAGAAGAAGCCCAAGATGCCCTCAGAAGGCTCCCAAGACCCCCGAGAAGGCCACTGGAGGCCCCCAAGAGGGCCCTAGATGGCTTCAGAAAACAGCTGGCGGGCCCCAGCTCCTCAAGACGGCCCAACAAGGCCCCAGGACGGCCCAGGAGAGCCCCAGGACGGCCCCAAAAAACTCCAAATACGCCCAAACGGCTTTCTCCTACAAAATACATCGAGTGACCCGGCGATCTTGGTTCCACGCTTGAGGCCCGAGGTTTAACCGCAAGAAGCCATTAAGGACCCCCCAGGGGTTATCATTAGCACAGCACCGTAATTGAATAATTCTGGGGGGCAGTTTTCGCCGAACGGTATGATTAGCACCGCGCAAATGGAACGAAAACAAATAATTCCCGCGCCCCGGCTCGGGTGATATCCCACTTGGAATTGGAATAAAACATAAGAATGATAATAAGAGTGGCATACGAGTAATAATAATAAGAGTAATACTGCGAATAAGAATGCTATTATGTATACGAATAAGGATAAGAGTAAGAGTAATGATAGTAGTAGGAGTAAGGATAATCGTAATAATACGAATAATAATACTTGCTAGTTTCGGCGAGCAGACTTGCTGCGTTCACATAAAAATGCGAGGTGCCAGGGTAACGCTTCTGGGGTGCCGGGTGCGTTATACTTGCGCCGGAGAGGGGGGGTCTTAATTGCTTCTTGCGGTTCGATTCCTCGATCGAGCGAGACAGGCAATCATGGATCTAGATTCGAAGTTCGACAATCGAAGATTTCCTGGGTGCCTGGAGCCCTCCAGGCATTCAGGAAGCGACCGAGCATCGATTTGTTCGGAGCTAATGCGACTTCATCGGCCCTGGGAGCGCTCCTTACTTTCTCAAAGGATGGACGAAGAGGAGGAAAGGACGAGGAAGGGATGGGTAGGGATAAACCTTGGAGTGGTAGATGAAAAGCCAGACGATTTTTTTCTCCGGACCTCCTCCCATGAGGAGCGGTGCTGAAGCAACCGATGATTTATTGCTTTGCAGGGGAAGCGTCCGGAACAAGGCGTATGGCGCGAAACGCCAATGCTATCTTGTGTATGGCGCCGTGCGCCTTGTTCCGGACGCTTCCCCGGCATCGCTTGCTTCAGCAAGGGGCAAGGGGACCTCGAGGCCTGGACGGGCGACCAGCTCCCTTTTCATATATTTTTACAGGGCCGGGGACGCCACAAAAAAAAATCCTAACGAATTTGGGCCAACCAAGAACCTCTCGGGCAACCCTCTAGACGACCTGGGAGAATCCCATGAGAGCCCGAAGACGGCCCCAGAGGGCTGCAGGCGTTCTGGCTCGCTCCGAAACAACCCCAAAGAGCCCCAAGACGGTCCACGACTACCCCAAAAGAGCCGTCATACCCTCAAAGATCGCTCCAAACGTCCCAGGAGGCCTTCGAAAACACTCCCCAGAAGGCTCCAAGAGGCAAAAATCATTGGTTTTCCGTTGGTTTTCGGTGAATTTAGGGGGTTCTGCTCTTTTCGGCTTTCCGACGCTCCAAGACGGCGGTCTTCTGGGCGTCCGAAGCCACCTGGCAGGCTCGAAAATCGCCCCACACCCATCGGAAAGGGCTTCCAGGCAGTCTAAGAGAGACCCAAGACGGCACAACAAGGTTCCAAGATGGCCTAAGAGAGCTCCATGACGGCCAAAGATGGCCCCCAGACACCCTCGAAAACATTCCAAATCGTGACCCGGTCGCTCAGGGAGACCGCAGTTGGAGGCAGGGTGGCCTGAGGAAGCCCCCAGAGGCTCTCCAAGGAGGAGCCACCGCAAAAGAGCTGAGAAGGATAGGGAGAATCCGTAGGGTATGGCGAGAATGAAGAACAATAAAAATGAAGGAAGGATAACGAATAACAGTATGTATAACGGCGATGTCGGAAGAGGCATTAAGGAGTTATCGCTACACTGTTGGCTTGGATGTACTGTCATTCCACATGCATACCAAACTTCAAGGACCAAGGTGCATGGCGCGAAGCGTCAATGCATCCTTGTATACTTGCATATATATACACACATATATATATGTATACGCGTATATGTGTGTATTTATATACGTATATGCAACTACATATACATATATATATATAGACGCATCTGTATATACATATAGTATCGAGCGCCAGCACGCCAACAGCAAAGCAACTTCAGCAAACGATTACGGTACGAACGAATGGCTTGAGATAACATGACTATGGAGGCTGCTCTCAGTTGTTCATGTTAATCCCCTGCTTGCTGGGGATCTATTATTGGCGTGGCTGTTCCAAGCTAAGTGTTATGCCTTGCATGCTGTCGATGTGATGTTCTTGATTCGGCTGCTCTTTGCTGTTCCTGTTGTGCCCAGCTTTGCGGTATTCGCATGGCTCGGAGAGCTCCAGATCTTCTCGGCTGTTTCTGCTGTGCCCAGCTGCTGGCAGTTTCCCATGCTCAGCTGTTCCCGGCGGTTCCTGCTGCACCTGGCTGTCGGAAATTTGCTTGCCTCGCGTGGACTTGGCTGTTCCTATTGCGCCTAGCAGTCCGTGGTTTGCTTGGCTCGAGTGTTCTCCGATGGTCCTTCTGCGACTGGCTGCGAGGCACTCGCTTGGCTCCTCTGTTCTCACCCGTGCTCCGCTGTTCATGTCCGCTGTTCATGCTTGCGACTGGCCTGCCCGGGATTCACTTGACTCGTGCATCCCCACGGTTCCACTTGCGCCTGGCTGCTGATGATTTGCTCGGGTCGGATGGTCTTGGCTGTTCCTGCTTGTTTCTGTGGCGCCGTTCCAGGACTTTGCTTAGTTCGCTGCTGGTCTGATGGGTTCTGGAGACTCGACCATCGTGTGGTTGTCATTGCTCGGTGTCCGCACTGGGATCCGCCTACATGTTAGAGCCCCGCGGAAGCGGACACTTAAGAGAGAGAGTGGTCGCGAGCGTGCGTGTCCAACGAAAGCTGATTGCCCCCTGGTATGCGGTTAGATGTGCTTGAACAATGTGCGCGCTTCGCGCGAGTTTAAGCTCTAGTTGAAAGGGGCTTGACTAATCCTCCACCTATTGACACTCCAACTTGTGCTACCAATCTTCTACTCTCTCCGCCCTCACAGCCCTCCCCCGCGATCATCCTCGTCCTGCGTCGCGTCACTGTCTTCCTCGATGTCCGCTCCTCATCCTCCACATAATTCCCCTTGTTCGTGCGTGCGCGCACTCCGCGCGCACTGAAGCCTTAGATAAAGAGTCCTGGACAACGCCGGCGGCTATGATTTGTGTTCGTCTCCCTCCTTCACCTCTCCCTCCTCCTCCTGATCCGCGTCCTCCTCCTCCTCCTCCTCCTCCTCCTCCTCTTTATCGACTTCTCCTTGTCCTCCTGATGATTCTCCCGTCTCCCTGCGGTGTGGACCGACGGACAGGGAGGCTGAAAATCGCCGTGCGCGCGGGGGGGCAGACGACGCGGAGAATGGAATCCACAGGGGCTCCAGACCACGCCGCAAAAACAAGCCGTGCCTCTCGTCCTACTGCGCAGATCGGAGCACGGCGGGACCGCGCCGCTGAGCTAACAGCTGGCACGAGGGGGGCGAGGAGGAGCAGGGGCACGAGAAAGGAGGAGGAGAGCAGGGCGATGAGGAGCACGAGGGGGAGGAGAAGGGCGGGGGCGCGGAAGGAGCAGGAGGACGGGGCGAGAGAGCAGTGGGTCGCAAAGGCCACGGTCCTGGGCGATGCCCTTGGCCTCCAAAGACGCCACTTTCTGGCGGGGCAGCGCCGGGCCCATCACTCCCTCCTCGTCCTCGCGTGCATCCTCATGCACCTCGTCTGGCCAATCCTCGTTTTCGTCGTCGTCCTCCTCCTCCTGCTCTCTCCCCGCCGTCATCCTGCTGCTGTTCCTCCTTCCCTTACTCTGCCTCCTGCTCTCCTCCCCTCATTCTCCGACCGCATGTGTGTGCCCTCCTTCTCCTCCTCCTCCTCCTCCCAACTCTGCTGCGGGGCCTTGGGGTCCGCCATGAAGTCGTCGATGAACTGCTTAGTGCGAACGCAGATCTTCGATTTCCGTGCCTTCTCCTCCCTGGTGAGGAGGAAGCCTGGCTGCACAGGATGTAGGAAGCAGTCGGAGGGAAGAAAAGGAAGGATAAAGCGGACGAGAAGCAAGGGAATCCAATTAACAAGTAGGAGGAGGGAGGGAGAGGACGACGAATGGGGTGGACGGGGGATGGGACGAAGGAGGAGGAGGAGGAGGAGGAGGAGGAGGACACCTCCTGGGATGTGTGGATGTGGCGGGGTGGCATCAAGTGGAACCGTACTCGTGCCACATGGGAGGGAGCAGGAGGAGAGGGGGCACATGAGCAGGAGAAGGAGGAGGTGAGAGCAGGAGGGCGAGGAAGAGCAGGAATAGAACTTATGGAACCTGAAAGAGCGAGATGAGGGGCACAAGGGTGACGAGGGTGACGAGGACGGGGACATGCAAGAGGAGGAGCAGGAGCACATGTAGAATGAGACATACAGATTGAGAGGAGGAGAGATGCGGACGGGGACGATGAAGGCAACGACGACGGAGACGACGATGGCGGCGGCGGCGGTCTCTTAGGGCTTCCTCCCCACAGGCAAAAGTGAAGCCTTGCAAGCGCTGCGGCGGCGGCGCCCCCCCTCCCTTCCCTGCGTTTTCCTTCGATGGCGTGTTGTGACTTTGCAGCGTACCATGTGGCAACATTGTTGGTGCATGGTCGGTGGCAGAAAGTTGTTTTGCATGGTGTGTACGCAGGCCGTCCCATATGTAACAGGCATGTGCATCCACAGCATGTAGGGCCGTGGGCTTCGTCGTGTGAAATACTTATTTCGTCTGTGTGGGCTTGTCAGGTCGATGCTGTGCGTATTTGGCGTATGGCCCCTGTGGTGTAGATTGTTGCGCCCTTGATGTGTTTCACGCATGTGCTTGGCGGCTGCTGCTGGCACGCGTTCCTGAGGTATGGCCTTGCTGGCGCATCTTAATGTAAAGGCGCGAAACGACGTTTTGCTGTCCGTTGTTGGAACCGGCCATTGATACATGGTATCCGAAGCATGGTGGTGATGTCCGCGTCTGGTGGCCATACATCAGGTATGCTGGTGTGAAGTGATGTCGTCTGTGGCTTGATCTTTCCCTGATGCATGCGGTTGCCACATGTCGCCGGTGCATTGTGCTGACGCGTGTTAGTGTTGCATGCCCTTGCTGTCTGTACGTCCTTGGTAGCGTTTATTCGTGTGTATGGTATTGTGTGTTGATCGTGGTGTGTACTTTTGGTGCCGCCCACGAAAAGCACGCTACCAACACTTGGGAGTCAAGTATGTTAGTGACTTCTGCTGTGCTGTCTGTCCCTTGCATACACAGGTTAGTGACGTATGGTGTGCTGTCTGCTATTTGTGCATGTCCTTGGTGACTGATTCGGGTAATTTTTGCTGGTGCCTGCATGTGTGCACGTGACGCGTGTACGTGCCCAATCTGTGGTTTGGATGCATGTTGCTTGTGTCGGTTGTGATGTCTGTTGTGCTGCATGTCGATGGAGTATGTCACTGTTGCCCACTCATGCGTGTATTGTTTTGCTTGTGTTCGGTACAGGTCATCGATGTAAGTTCTTGGTGTTTGATCTAGATGTGTGTTAGTGGTGTCCACTATCGGTGTACGCGTTTGTGGTATACCACTGCTACCTGGCATTAACGCCTGATCTTCATGCATGCTAGCAAAAAGCCGAGGCGAATGTTGTACATCAGTGTTATTGGCGCCGCTTCTGGTCGTCACGTATTGGTGTGTGCTCTTGGTGTAGGTTCTGGATGTCTACCAGTGAAGTACGTGAATGGTGAACATTCCTGCTGTTTGTACTTGGTATGTTGATGTATGTTACGGCACAAAATTCTTGAAGGCATATGTTACGAATGTGCGTGCGTCCGTGCAAGATGGTAGGATCTGATCCTGGTGTGTTATTGATGAATGTGGCTGATTCTGATCAACAACGCGCACCAATAATAATCACCAAACACACGCACTTCGATCAAACAGTAGTGATAGACATCACGGAAAACACCAAACCTAAGCGCATACATCAGAAACGGACATAAAACAAAGCAGCAATGTCATACACCATGTGCACGCGCCACGAACAGGGACCTATAACACGACAGGAGCGTACATGAATCACATGTGCCCATGACATAGCTTCATCAATTGCAGGCGTCAATGGCATACACCATTGGCAAGCTTTTGTAACAGACATCGAGGGCATACATTCCCAACAGTACGTCAAAACTGACACCAAGATCTGGCATCGCGAAGTCACATGTCCAGCAGGCAGCAGGCACAAACATTCAACACATGGTCAACACCGGGCGTGATTAATGTACACAAATAAAGTCCAGAGGAAAATGATTACACGAGAGAACAACCCCAATCAGTGGATGGTTTGAAAATTTGTGATATGGATATTGAGACCGATTGTGAGCTCGATAGTGAGACCGATAGTGGGATTGATCGTAAGGACGGTAGTAAAGTCGATCGTGGCACCGATCTTGAAGTCGATTCGGTGCGATCGATCATCAGATCGATCGTGAAATCGCTCGTGCGATGTAGTGAGATCGATGGTGAGACCGATCTCTAAGGAGATGGACCAAGAACCCAAGAACCCGGAAACCCACGAACCCCCCCGCCCATTGGAATCGGTCCGGAAGCGGGAACCCAGGAACCCGGCCGCCTACCGAAACCAGCCTGGAACTTTCGCCAAATCTTTCAACCTCCGCTAGGGCCCTTTCAGTGCAAGCACTGATTGGGGAATGAACACCCACAGTGTGCAACGAGAGCAAGCAAAATCGGCACCACCCGCGTGCATACATGACGAACTCACATGCAACGGGCGTGCACAACTACAACTCTTGAAATAACATGCGCGAAAACCAAGCACAAGATACAGTACTTACACCAGAGAATAATCCCAATCAGTGGATGGTTTGAAAATTAGCGAAATGGATGTTGAGATGTATTATAAATTCGATCGTGAGATCGGCACTGGGATCGATACTGAGGACGTTAGTATGGTCGATCGTGAGAGCGAAAGTGAAGTCGATTCAGTGAGATCGATCGTGAGATCGCTCGTGCGATCTATAGTGAGATTGATTGTGACATCGATAACGAGATCGATTGTGAGGTCGATCGTTAGATCCATCGAGAGGTGGGTAATGAGATCGATGGTGAGACCGACCGATAGAGAGATCGACCAAGAGCCTGGTACGTATTCCAGAAACCCGGGAACCCCGCCGCCCACCGAACTCGGCCCGGAAATGGCAACTGGGAACCTGGGAACGGGGAACCCAAAACCGGGAACCTGGGGACCTGGGAACCCGGCCGCCCACCGAAATAGGCCCAGAACTCTTGCCAAATCTTTCAATCTCCGCTAGGACCCCTTCAGTGCAAGCACTGATTTGGGAACTACGCGCGACGATCACCATACGGAGACACGCATGCAACACATCACACCCAGCAAGACTCCGAAACCGTTCACTGCAACTTTCTGGTGGGTAGCGCCCGAAATTACAAGAAAGCTCGTTTGAACAAATTGTGTGAGGGGTTCTTTCCGAAACTCGGGGGGTCTGCAGGGGCCGATCCGGTGTCAGGAACGACGGAGGAACCGGGACTTACGACTCCCTCTCCCTCCGCTCTCTCTCTCTCTCTCTCTCTCTCTTCCCCCTCCTGCTTCTCCGTCCATTCATCCATCTGTCCTCCGCCCTCCTCCTCCTCCTCCTCCTCCTTCTCCGCCTCCTCCTCCACCCTCCAACAACAATGGCCCGGGGACCTGTCAAGGGGCGCGCTGTGGCGAGAACCTCGAGCCGCAACCAGCCGTGGCGACGAGGGCACCCCCTGGGGGCCCAAAAAGGCTGAAGACCGTGAGACAGCCGCGATCCTCGATCCTCCTACTCCTCCCCCTCCTCCTCCTCCACTTCTTCCTTGCCCTCCTCTTCTTCCTCCTCCTGCTCCTCTTCCTCCTCTTCCTCCTCTTCCTCCTCCTCGTTCTCCTCCTCCTCCTCCTCCTCCTCGTCCCCCTCCCCTCCTCCTCCTCCTCCTCCTCCTCCTCCTCCTCCTCCTCCTCCTCCTCCTCCTCCTCTCAAGCCACGTCGGCTCGAGTGGCCCCCCGCAGCGCCGCTCGGCCGTCGTCCCGGAGCTTAATGTGGGGTGGTGCGCCGCTCCCTGCTGCTTGAGGTCCAGGTGCTCCTGGCAACGCCGGGTTGAATTCGTATGCCTCCCACTTCGATTGCATGCTGCAGCTCTTCGCTTTCCAGGTGGTCTTCCTCGTGTTCATGGGGCTGTGCTACTTAGCTGGCGGGCTGCTGGGCGTGCAGTTGCACGGTGTGCTCATCATGCCGGTACTTTGTTCGAGGCGTTTTTGTTTTTATTTGCGGGGCTGGGCTCATTTCCACTGGATTGGTTTTGTTCAGTTGATTTTCTGGTGGGAGTTGGCTCAGTGCTTTTTGATCAGGGCGAGGGACGAGCCGTGGCGGCTAGCATTCCCCTCGCCCAGGGCCTGGTGTGCCCTTGTGCCGTATCGGCGGCCGGTGGAGTCATGTGTGCGTTGTCGCGATGTGGATGTGGCCTTCGGCCTAGGCTTTCTGCGTGTCTTTCGCATCCTGGCTCTTCTTCGTTGTCGTGCTGGTGCTGGCGGTGTTCTTCATCATGTATGCTCGCGCGTTGACGCGCGGCATTGGCGGTGTGGTGGTCATGGCTGGCGGCTTTGGTACAGTATTTCAGCTTGGTGTTTCACGTTGTGTGTAGCATCAATTCCCTCTCCTGGTGGTTGCAAGAAGCGTGAGCTCGCCACACATACCTTGGGAGTATTGCTGGAGTGGCAGTTTTTATTACGCACGGCGGGCAGCATTCGCGCGGGTCTACTTCATCATTGTCTTCCTCGCCTTCGGCTTCCACATGTGGGTGGTGCTGTCGTGAAGCGGCCTGTGACGGGCTGCGTGAGATGTGTGTGTTGTGAAGCATGCGCCCTGGCTAGACCAGGTCCCCGCCGAGCGCTCATCATCATCATCATCCTCCTCCTCCTCCTCCTCCTCCTCCTCCTCC